CCAAACTGCGCAAAAAGATATTGGTTTAGGTTTTAATTTTTCTGGGAAATAGGAAAAAGTTTGAAGTTACCTCCTTGTAAAATGACTAAGAATAACATTTTTAACTATTCACACAGGCAACTTTGTCATGACTTCCTAGATTGCTCATACAAAAAAGAAAATGGGGTATTTCTTACCCGAATCCCTACCTATTTGACCCTTAAACAGTCCCACACCAGCTTTTGTTATGGTCCAAAGGCTCCAAAGGCTGAGGATCAAATGAGGAAACCTATAGATTTCCTGACAACTCTATGTTAATTAAGAGATCTCTTGACATCAGGGGAACGTATAGTCTCAGGTCAAATCCGGACCAGTTTTAGTTTTGAATCCTTGTTTTCCTCTTAGCAAATTCCAGAGCACTTTCTGGCTCCGATCTGGAATTCCATGCTGTTAAAGTTTCTTATTAGCTCCTAGCTAACCCGAAACTTCCACCTATACAAAATTACAGCACAACATACCTTCTGTTGCAAGGAGCACGCTCTTATTCCCCGGGCAAGAAGAAAATGAAAAGACTAAGTATGTGTGGGGTGGGAATAACTGAAATCCCATATTGCCTACCAGAATAGAATACTTCCTCATAGGGATAATCTTCCCTGATACAACACAACAATAACCAATAACAACAAAGGCAGAATCCATTTTTTTTTAAGTATGGGATAAAAGAGATCCAATTCACACCACTCCCTCAAAACAAAATAGGATGGGAAACAACCTTCCTTTTAACAGAATACCAACAGTACTTTTAAAAGTATAGCCTCTCCTTCAACTGACCCTTGGCCCAAGAAAGTTCTACTGGTTGCAACTCTAAAACCAGCCCAAGAATATTCTCTGACAGGGCCCCTCACGAGTATGTTCAGACATGGAACCAGACTTCTACATGATGACTACCTCTTAATTTTTATCACTACACATTGCTTCCAATACTTCCTGGGGCAAAAACAGCCTTGCTTAGTCCTAAAGTTTGACTCAGCATTTTCCAATCTATTAGCTAAAGGTGAACCTTAATAAAGGAATCTTATTTCCATATGGAAATGACACAGTTCCCATCAAGAATATTTTGCTACAATTTCATTAATTCACATTTAGTCAAATGCAACTAAGAAATCAGGGACCATGACATTTTCCTACTACATACCCTGCAAGACATTTGGCCTATAGATAACTTTTTATGAAGCAAATGCAACTTCTGATGAAAGCCTGTGAATGACAAATACTTACCTGAGAGTCTAAACTTAATAAATCAAGAAACTAAAATTGGTATTTAAAATCTTTCTGGGAAACCTGGGTGGCTCAGTCAGTTAAGCTCCAGCTCTTGATTTTGGCTCAAATCATGATTTCAGGGTGGTGAGAGCTAACCCTACATGGGGTTCCTCATTCAGTAGGGAGTCTGCTTGAGATTCTCCTTCTCCCTCTGCCCCTACCCTCACCCCACTCTCCCTCTCTCTCTCAAATAAGTAAAGAAATCTTTAAAAGTAAATAACAAAAAATAAAAATGAAAATTTTCTGATTTAAATATCTTGAAAAAGTTTGAAGAGATTCTCTCCTTCAAAGACTCAAGCATTTTGTAGAGGTTCTGCTTGAAATCCCATCTCTTCAACACCAATTAAGAGTGTCCTTCTCGGGGCGCCTGGGTGGCTCAGTGGGTTAAGCCTCTGCCTTCAGCTCAGGTCGTGATCTCGGGGTCCTGGGATCAAGCCCCACGTTGGGCTCTCTGCTCAGCAAGGAGCCTGCCTCCCCCCTGCTCTCTCTCTGCCTGCTTCTCTGCCTACTTGTCATTTCTGTCTGTCAAATAAATAAATAAAATTAAAAAAAAAAAAGAAGAGTGTCCTTCTCCACCTCCATCTTATGCAGACTTCCAAATCACAGAGAAACTACCATATAGAAAGTCAGCAAAAATACCTTCTGAGACTAAAAGAAGTTGTCACTTAATGAGGGAGACACAAGAGAGAAAGGGTTCTCTGTTTTAAGGGTGCATTTCAGGATCTGGAAAAACTGTCAGTAAAGAGATGTGTAAGTGGGACGTCTTCAAAATGGCTTGCAAATTCTGGATACTCAGCTGACCCTGAAGCAGGCTTCATGGGGACAAGGGGATGGTGGTTAGGGAGACTTGAAAGAAACCTGCTGTAATGGAAAAGCCAGCATTAACTCCTACCTGTGCAAACACAGGTCTGTATCCTATCCAAGGACAGTAAAACTAGATGGGCTTCATTTCCTGATGGTCTTCAGAGTGTTACTGAAACTAAAGTCATGGGCTGTATCCTCACACAGCCAATTCATTTCAATTTTTCCTCTGTCACAGACCATGCCCTCAACCTGGACAGCTTGTGCATGCAAAGCCGTGACAAAGAAAGAGTTTTAGAAGAGTAGAAGGATGAAATAAAGTAAATCTACCATCTTCCTACTCAAAGAACAATACCTCATTATCTAGAAAGACATTTTATTTTTTTTATTTTTTTAAAGATTTTATTTATTTTACACAGAGAGAGATCACAAGTAGACAGAGAGGCAGGCGAAGAGAGAGAGAGGGAAGCAGGCTCCCTGCTGAGCAGAGAGCCCGATGCAGGGCTCGATCCCAGGACCCTGAGATCATGACCTGAGCCGGAGGCAGCAGCTTAACCCACTGAGCCACCCAGGCACCCGAAAGACATTTTAAATGAGAAGAGTTGAAAAGCCCTTAAAAAATAAATGACACAGCCCTTCTATTCAACAGTTAACATTTATGGGGTCTGGATCAGGATTTATCAGCTCAAGGCTCCACATGCAGGCCAGCTGGTTTGGCAACCTGACTTCGTGCTCACTTGGAAGAATCTGAATGGCTAATTCTCACATTGGTGTTACTAACTCATAACAACTTAAAGACCTTTCTCTTCCAAGAATGGGTTCATGTTCACCCAGATTTCACAGTGAAGAACATCTAGGACTCAGGAAATCTAGGCAGTGAACCGAGCCTCACTTCCAAAAGGCTGTACACATTTGGGAAATCACAGAATCTGTTTGGGCCTCAGTTCCCTACCCATAAGGTGGCAGTGTTAGAGTAAACAGAGTCTAAATTCCCTCCTAGCTAAAGTGTGTTTGGTGTCTGATTCCATGCAGTAAGCATTAACATCAAGCTTATGAGACAGGTGAGTAGGGGCCTCCCAACCCAGGCAAGTGTAAGGCTGAGAACACATGCTTGATGGGATAACCCAAGCTGGGAGACAGTGAGGGGCGGAAGATGATTAGGCTTGAACTCAGAATTCACCTTGATGTTAAATCAGTAGAGACAACTTATTGATAAAAGCCAGGCAACAGAATTCTCCAAAGGGAAAAACCTCCTGTAAGAGACAGCCAACTGGAGTTCAAGACTCAGCTCAGTCATTCACTAACAGCATGGCTTAGACACAACACTGAACCATTCTGAGCCTCAGTTTCCTCAATGGATGTGTTACTGTCTGCCCCACGTACAGACAGTACAAAGTCTTTGTATCAATATAAGAAAATAAACACACACACACTCAGTAGATTGTGAAGCAGTCACAGCTCAGAGCTTCCATGTGAACAAGCATTTAGGATTTAGTAGGAGGTCTCCCTATGATAGAATAGAACAAAAACAAAAGCAAACACAAAATTTAGAGAACTATTTTTGAGAAAGCAGCTTCCTACTTGCCTAATCCTAAAATACAGATCCCGAAATATCAATATGTGACATTTCTCTAGGCTCTTCAAGAGAATAGAGCAGATTTTCAATGGAAATATCTGCATAATAAAAAGACAGCTAAATGGCATATAAGACATTCAAGTAAGCCAGAATTTCTCCTTTACACCAGGAGACCCAGCACAAGCTGAAGAGCCAAGCAAGGGGTAGAGCTCAACAGAGAAATTAGTCCAAGGTACCTGAATAATCATGAAAAGAAAGTACAGAAACTGGGGACAAGAGAATGAAAAGATATTTGGCCACAGCCTGGGGACTACTGACTGGGGAGAACAGGCATGGAAAGAGAAGAAAGTTTTTCTTACTTGGGGGACCAGTTGGCCGGGAAGAGAAGTATCAGACACCAAACCTAACTTGACCCAGGGACAGGCACAAGCACACAATATCAACGCATAATGCAGTATGACTAGAGAAGCATGCTGTTAACCCCTAAATGAGGGAAGACGAGAACCTAATGGCTTTAAAAAAAAAAAAAAAACTATACCTCACCAAGTTCATTTGTTTTGAACAACTCTCCATGAATTCTCAGAAAAGTCTAAGGAGAATATCCAGAGAATGCCGGGTAATAATTTGGTTTGAAGCATGACAATAAATGTCAGCGTGTATCTACAACCCTGCTAGCAAGAGGAAACTGAATGGGAAACCAGTTAGATCAAGACTGGAAAGATGGGTTTTCCAATCATTCTGTGAAACAACAGTTGTAGGAGAATTGAGGTCAGGGAACTTCCCAAGAGAGAAACTCTACAGACAGCAAGACAGAGAACCAAGAAGTAAATCAGATCAGAGGCTATGGTTGACAGAAAGACTTAGGGAGAAATCAGAGAGAGAGAGAGAGACTTAGGGAGAAATCAGAGAGAGAGAGAGAGTATAGGGCATTAAGGTAGAAGTGGTAGAAAATCCTGAGTCCTGAGCCCTACAGAAGTGATAATTGGAGTATGTTACCAATCCTGAAAGATGATGAATCCAGGAGGATGAGTACAGAGAAGGGCCGCAGATTTGACCCAAGGGGAGACTTTGAGAGCAGTGGTTAAGAAACATGAGCCCATGGGGCATAAACAGAGATACTTAATGCCCAGCCACATCCAGGATTGAGAGGGGAAGCTCTTGCTAATTTGCTCCCATTGCAAAGCACACAGGAGTAAGTATTTAATGCAAAGTAGAAATGACCATATCCCATGTCTAGAACCCTGCTGTTATGAAGAATACCAAAACTTGAAAGCAAAGTCTCCTCAGAGGGAATCCCCAAGGCCTACTTGCTCTGCTCACTTACTCAGCTTTGATAAATGCTCTGGTGTCTCTCTCCTCATACTAGCTTGCTCGCTTCCCGGCTCAGAATAGCTTGCGGTCTGGCGTTCCTCTCAAGGCAACGATTTGTACATAACTGTGGAATGTTTCCAAGTGTTCACAAAATAAAACTAAATGGTGCTCTTGTGCATAGCTCAAACTTTGCTTGACAATTCCCTCTCAAGTCCCCATTACCTACGCAAAAGCAGCTCTACTTGATTAATCAAGCTGAAAATCCGGCGGCAGAAAACCTTGGTAGCTTGCATTCCGGGGTGAAACCTAGTTCTAGCTGGAAAACTTGGGCCACATTTGACCAAGAGAGTTCAAGTTCAGATCCTTCTCTTTGACAGCTGGCTGTAACTAAATCTAACCAAGAAAAGATAGTTAATTCATATAAGGGAACTTAAAATGTAATCTTGTTCATTCTCTGCAATGAAACACCTGGAAAATATTAGTTATTTGATAGGCATGTGGTGAATGTTGAATATTCAAAAAGGGTCTCCTATCACATTACATGATTAACATTTGTACTCACTAGTGAGACCAATTACGTGCCTTCTCTTTTTTGTGAGAACGGCAAGAGAGTTTGGGGTTTATGGTCCAACAAAGAACCAGAAAACAAGGCTTTTAGCAAAATTTGCTTCAAGCGTTCAACAGGTAGAAAAAACAAGGTTGTTATAACTGGCCTGCATTTTAAGTGAATTAGTAAAATGTTCTTGTTGCAACTATTAATTTGCTAAAAGAACAGAATTTTCAAAAATGTTCAAGAAGGGCACCTGACTGGCTCAGTGGGTTAAAGCCTCTGCCTTCGGCTCAGGTCATGATCCTAGGGTCCTGGGATCGAGCCCGCATCTGACTCTCTGCTCAGCAGAGAGCCTGCTTCCTCCTCTCTCTTCCTGCCTCTCTGCCTACTTGTGGTCTCTGTCCATCAAATTAATTAATTAATTAATTAATTAATTCAAGAAAATTAATAGACTATATATGGTCATCAGACTATAAAAATTATCATCAGACTATAAAAATTATTGCAAACTTCCCCAATACTATGCTATGCTCTGAGGTATCCCAACAGAATAATTATAAACAAGTAGCCTAAAGAGTATGGTTTTCATGGTGATAGTTCAATTTTTGGAAAGATTAAAGGTTTCTTTCCTAAAACATGACTTAGTATAAGTTCAGCCAAGTGAGTTGTGACATGAGGCACCAAATTACATTCTATAGGAATGAACACTGTTAAACTGAGTTTCCTGGGAAATATTTTGAATCAACTTCATTGCTCACCTTTCTGAGAAGTCTGTATTTTCCTATTTTAAACCAAGGTTCAGTATCAATACATACGTTTGCCCATAAATGGTTAAATGTTCTATTTCTTTCTGACATTAGAGATCAGAGCATAAGACTCCTAAGAAAGAATTTTCCTTCACTATAAGGGAAAAAAAGAACTGCCCTGCTCAAATTTAAAATAGAATTTCACAAATTTCTGTCATGCATTTTGAAAGAGATTACATAAATTGAATAATAAGTCTAAAGAAAATTGAATATAGGCCAATTAAAAGAGGAAGCAGAACAAACAAACAAAAAAACCTGGGGCACCTGGGAGGCACAGTCAGTTAAGCCTCCAACTCTTGTTTTCAACTCAGGTGATGATCTCAGGGTTATGGGATCGAACCCCCTCTCCCATCAGGCTCTGGGTTCTGTGCAGAGTCTGATGGAGATTCTCTCTCCCTCTCCCTCTACCCTTCCCTGGCCACACATGCTTGCTCACTCTCTCTCTCTCTCAAATAAATAAAATCTTTAAAAAAAATAAAAGAGGAATCAAAAATATATTTTTAATTTTGTGTAGATTAAATGACTAGCCTCATACAATGATGTTTTCCTGCTAGAAGAATGTTGTTCTGCTAGAGGTAATTATGGTAATAAGAATTAGGGTAATTTAAACCCTATTGAAAAGGGGATTTAAGAGATTCTTATGTTGCAGAGAAACCCAAGGATATGCTTGAAATCCTGGCTATTTATGCTGTCATAAAAATAACTAGGCAGGTACCAAATTAATTTTATGTATCAAAGGACTCAATAATTTTAGATTAAACCATTTTAGATTTATTAATGATCTGATGGCATATTAATTGGGGAGTTTCCATTTGCTATATGCTTTAAGTTTTAGATTTCATATTTGGACCAAAGTACCATCACACTGCATTATTTTCCAAGTCAGAATACTTAAGCTTTTCCTCCAATATACAACTTGAGGAAATAAATATCCTCCCAAGTAGACACAAATGTTCCCTATCTAGCAAATGACCACATTGGTACAATAATCTGGAATCTCTAGCTAGATTGAATTTATGAAAAGATGCTTTTTTATAGATTTTACAATAGCCTGATTTTCATTTTGTAAATGTGTTTCATTGTGTACTGTCTTTATTCATTCCCATTCAAAGAGGAAGTGACTCTACTGTTTGAGGCCCAATGCCACAGGTTAAAGTCAGAGAAGTGAGTCATGCTGGATTTGGTCCCTAGAAGTGCTTGCCAACAATGCAGATGAGTTTATCACTAGCACTGAAAATGACTTTTATTCTTTCCCCTTGTATGTTTTCTAGGGCTGTCATAGCAAAATACTACATAATGCAAATACTACAGAATATAAGCCGAGTGGCTCAAAACAACAGGAATTTATGCTCTCACAGTTCTGGAGACCAGAAGTCGGAAATCAAGATGTTGGCAGGGCCATGCTCCCTCTGAAACCCTAAGGAACAATCCTTCCTTGCCTTTTCCTAAACTTCTGGTGCCAGGTGGCATTTCCTTGGCAATCATTGGTTTGAAGCTATGACACACCAATGTCGGTTTTTATTGTCATGAGCTGTCTGTGTGTCTCTACAGGGCTGCCTTCCTATAAGGACATCAGTGATACTGGATTAGGGGCCCCATCCATTAGGACCTCACCTTAATTCAATTCAACTAATGACATCCACAACTACTTTATTTTCAAGTAAAGTCACATTCTGAAGTACTGGGGCTTGGGGCTTAGCATATCTTTGGGGGGGAAGGTGGCACAATTCAGCCCATAACACCCCCTACTACCTTTAATCCTCTTCTGTCAGTAAAACTCTTGTATGCCAAAAGAGTCTCTACATGGTAAGAAACTGGAACAGGAGTGAAGAAAGAAGACCCCGTTGGTTTATAACATTTTTACTTTCTTCCACAGCAGAAAACATACTGGCTAGACTTTTTTTTTTTTAGAAGGGAAGACTTATGTGTAAAGAAGTTAAATGCCTTTCTCAGTAGCACCCAACTGTTATACATCATGGGCAGCCCAGGTCTCCTAACCCCTGGAACTATGCTGTTCCCATGGATACACAGAGCCTAATATAAAGCCCCATCAGTATGGGTCCATCAACACTCAAAATGAAAATTGGATATTTTCAGATTAGATAAGTTATATAAAGGGGCCACAAGGAGGATCCTTGCAGTGATGAAACTGTCGTTTGCCTTGATGAGGGTTTCGGACTACCCAGGGATGGTCCAGAGAGCCATGAATGCTACTGTCCCCCAGGCCCCTTTCTTCCCCTCTGGTTGAGTGGCAGTCCCTACATACTACCACCAGACTGCCTAGAAAGCAGTCTAACCATACCTGCCATCCTGTAGGGCACGGGAAGTTCCCTGAAGAAGAAAGAAGTCGTCCTTTTCACTACCTTCTCAGTCAGGAAATGGAAAGGAATCTCACTTAAAGAGATTTCAAAGTACACCATGCCTCTACTCAAACCCAGCTTTTGCCCCAAATTTTGGCCTCAAACTGCTAGCTGATGTAAGAAAATCTCTAATGTGAATGAAAATAGCCTAAGGGCCCTGTGACACAGTGGCCAAGCCACAGGGGAGTCACTCAAAGATCTGGGTTTGAACCCTGCCTCTGCCTCTGCCTCTGCCTCTGCCTCTGCCTCTGCCTTTGCCTCACGTGGGAGTTGGACCGGGTACTTCTCTTCTCTAGGCTTTGGGTTCGTGGAGAGGACAACTCCTGTTTCCCAGGATTGTTTTGAGAAGTGACTGAAATTGTTCATGTACTAGTAAAAGTGCTGCTTATGGTTCCTGGAACATAGAAGGTGTTCAGTAATATCGTCGGTCCTTATTCCGTGCCCCGCACATGCAGTATTCTGAAAATGTTGCGGACTCTCTATTCAAAAGGCTATTGTGCTATTTCTAGTGCAAGTTATATTCCACGCTGGGATGTTTGGGCAGGAGGTTTCTTGTCTATCAGATTAATTCTTTTGCTTCTAATCTTAACTCGCTCTCACTAATATATTCAGACATTTTTGAAAGGGCTTACCCACAGTCTAGTAATTTGGGGGTGAGTTTAAACTGGCTAAATTTCGCTTTTCCCCTACTTCTATTTCAATGGCTATTTGGTTTGGGAGGCCTGTCTTTGGGTCACATTTGTTCCTCAGTTGTTTCTATGGCAAATATCTCTCACCTGATCATTTTTGAGACCAAGGAGAGTTGCTCAACACCTAGGAGCCTGGGTGTCTGATTTCAGGCTAGAGTCTGATCAGAGACTCCTCCAGGGTGACAGGCTGTCACTGGCTCCGTGAGATAAGATGGCCAAGATCCTAACAACAAGAATTATCTCTTGACTTCACAAAAACGTTTTCCAATCTCTCCCTGTGTATGCCAAGATGATAAAGATAAGTCAACATGCCCTAAAGAAGTAATTACTCTTATGCTGGCAAGTCTAAGTGTAATTTAGAACTATTAACTATGGGACTATGGTATGGAACTGACTGTTGAACTTGCTAGAAAGTCATTCAATACATGTTTAGAGGCTGTTATAAATCATCCAGAGAAAATAACCCTTTTTTAAAAATGTGATTCTAGCCATGAATGAGACCAGTCAGCCCCCTATGGGATCTTATTTGTTTATTTTCACGTTAGAGCGATCACATGACTCCATACCAGTCTTAATCTCAGAAAGAATCTCCATACAACATTAAATAACACCAACTGTGTCATGACTTAGATTTTAATGAACCACAAACATCAGCATGCTGCAACTAAAAAGCTGTTTTTGTTTTATTTTTGGTGAAAGATTAAAAGAGGGTTAAATTTTTGTTCATTTATTTTAAATCAACATTTATTTTGTATTCAGATTATTAAGGTAGCCCAGATATGCTCAACTAATGGAAAACTTGGGGAAAAAAA